AAAAAATAATAAAAAAAAAAAAAAAAAAAAGAAAAAAAAATGTTTACAAAACACACATACAAACACACTCCCATACAAGTATAAGCATAGAAGAATATGGTAATGGAAGACCAGCTGTGAAAGTCTAAAGTGAGGCTAGAGTTTGGACCTTACCATTTTTAGTTAGAGGTTGTCCAGGGAAGCTTTTAAGCATTACAGTGAACATGAGTTATAAAGAAAATTAACCTACAAGACTTTTAATCAACTCTTACGTAGACCAGAGGTAATCACAGAGCAATGGTCATCTTGCTTCCATAATCGGGTGGATACTTATTTCTGTCTTCAGGTCTTTAACCTCTTCATGTCTACCTGCAGTCAGATACTCCCAAGCCCTCTATAGACAACAGTAAATGAATGGAAAAGGTGGGTTTTTTAATAATAGCAAAAGAATGAAAAAGCCATGCATTCACTTTATCTGTCCAATCTGAGGCATTTTTAAAAGCCAATATTTTATTGCTGTTAGTAGTAACAATAAGACAAGAGGCATAGGACAGAACCTTCTCTGGAAAACATGGAACTTTGTTTAATACTATTAACAATAATGATGATGATGGCAATGAACATTTACAGAGTGCTATGCGCCAGCCTAAGTGCTTGACAGGCACTAACTTACCAACCTTAGAACAATCTACTAAGTTGGTCTGACTATCTTCATTATATTGGTGAGGAAAGGGAATTGAGAGACCAGGTGTTTTGTCTAAGGTCATCCAGACAGAACTAAACTCTCCCAACTAAACTCTTTCTGAGGTACTGATAAAGGTTACCCCCATCCCTACACTTACCTGCATTTAATGCCAAAATAAAATTTGTTCAATGTATCCCCGATGGGGATTTTTCACCCCTCCCAAGACAAAAATCCCATAAAAATTTTGAGAAATAGAAACTCTCCAGAACACCAGAAAATCCTTCAGCGACAGGAGTCAGCAGATGGAGTATGCCAGGAATACTCTCCTGCCGCTGGGTGGCAGCAGTGGAAACACACAGTGTCTCAGTACCTGTCTGCGTCTGCTGTCTGAGTACACATTTTTTTCTTCATCTTACTCCTTTCTATTTAAGTCAAATGCCTAGTTTGGCCCCTAGGCTATGTCTACATAAATTCCTTGCTAATCTCCAACATGTACATGCTGTTACTCCCAAGTTTATATGTCCTGCCTCCAGTGGCATATCCCCATGTATCTGTTCACCAGCTCTACCTAAAGACCGAGTAAGTTTCTCAAACTTAACATCACTAAAACTGAAACTTTAACTTTCAAATCTTTGAGGAATCAGGCATCAAACTCCACCTTTACTTCTCTGTACATTTTCTGCCACGGTGCTTTCATCTATTCTAGATATTTAGAATTTGTCTTCATGCTTATGACTTCTATCTCGAGCCCCAAGTTGTCTACTTAGGTCCCAATATCTCGCCCAGATTTTAGTATGTTAAATGTTGCATGGCTAAAAGAGGACTCTATTTTCAAATTTGCTACTGCTCCGCCTGTCTTTCCTGTTCAGTGTCATAATTTTGCATTTGCTCCAATCGAAAACCTAATACCCATCCATTACCAATCCAGTCACTATTAATTTTTAAAAATAATCAGAGTAGGCTCACCCACATTTACCTGAATATGTACAGAGCATCTGGGATGAATAAGTGATCATACTTTTCACTCTATCAATTTTATGCCCTATGAATGTATCACCTATTAAAAAATTAAAAATACATTATAACTTAAAATATAGAACTTCCTGGGCCTCCCTTGGTGGCGCAGCGGTTGAGCGCTGGGCTGAGTCTGCCTGCAGCCTCTGCAGCGCCGGTTCGTTCCCCGGCAGCCGGCGAGGGTCCCACAAAAAAAAAAAAAAAAAAAAAAATATATATATATATATATATATATATATATAACTTCCTTAAAAACTCTAGTTCCCTGAAATGTTTCATCTTACCAGCAAGATCCATAATACAAATCCATCACCATCAGCTACTTCTTTTTCATTTGACAAGGAGATGTGATATTAACAGTGTATCACAATTTTCAATTGCGAAACATTCCTAATACCCAGTACCTCAAAATGTGACCTTATACGGATGTCATCAATGAAGATGCAATTAGTTAAGATGAGGTCATTGACATGGGTCCTAATTCAATAACTGGTGTACTAATGATAAGGACAGATCTATTAGGACAGGCATGAATAGAAGGTGGCAAAGAGACAGAAACAAGATGGCCACCTACACCAGTTTTCTCTAACACTCACTGCCCTGCCTATAGCTTGATCTCAGACATCCATCTCCAGAACTGTAAACAAGTCCCACGTAGGCCACCCAGTTTGTTACTTTATGGCAAGCCCAGCATACTAATAAAACTATAAGCAGAAGTTAATTGTAAATAAGTAGTCATCTCAGAAGACTAATCATTTAAAAGCATGCAAGGATTTTCTCATCTCACTAAAGGTATACTTAGATATTTCTGAGAGTTTGTTAAATCCAACAACAAATATTCTACCAATAGTGGCCGAGTATGGAATCCAGTCTCTTAACATAGCATTTCCTAAACAATTCACAGGTTGCTAAGGTTAGTTGATGATGGAAAAAATGCAATGGTACAGGCCAGATGCGCAGGAGGGTGAGAGGAGTCACCAGAGACAGATCAGGGAACAGAACAGGCAGACTGACTGAAACACACTGCTGAGGGGAGCAGCGGGCGGGACAGGCGAGGTCTGCCGCACCATGTGGTATTCTCGCCAGGTGGCTGGGATCGAACTCGCGCTGCAGAGGCTGCGGACAGTTTCACTGCGCTGCTCTCAACCACCTGCGCCACCAGGGGAGGCCCCAACTATTAGATATTTCTAAAATGTTTCTCCACTTATTTGGTCTGCTTTTGTGTTGCTTCTATTGAGTCAGGCGACTCCATTCTTTATTTGTGCAAGTTAATTTTTAAGTCATGTGTGCTTTTCTCTCACCACACACACTCAGTTACCCTTTTTTCCCCCCTCAACACTGTCTTTTTGGAAGACACCAGGCCACTGTCTTAGAGAAGATATGACATACTTAATGAATGCATACATGCCCTCAGAGCCAACAGTTTCCTTTCTGAAAATTCATTTAACATTTACTGAGCAAATGCAAGTTAGAGCAGGCACAGGGGATAAAGGTAAATAAACCAGTTCCAAGCTATGAAGACAGTATATTAAATATATTAAACAATTCAAATACATAAGACTTTCTACTGGCAATATTAGGGCCCAGACACACCCAATTCAGCTTGTGAATGAAGGGGCTGGCATGCAAATCAGGAAGTGATTCAAAGGGAGTTGCGTATTACACTTGCAGAAAATATGCAACTGGACAAGTAAACGACTCTGGTTGCATAAGTTGCGTGTATCTAGTACAGCTATCCCATAGAGGTGCACCAGGAAGTGTGGGGAAAATAAATCCTAGGGAATTGGAGTGAACCACGTAAGACCTGTGACATCAGGTTAAGATCTTTTTTTCCATATGGTCAGTTTCATTTTTAATACAAGCCATATACTGGGACAGTGAGTTAGGGAAAGACAAGCTCATGACCGCTTCCAGGCAGTCCTTTAATGGGGGCTGACATGAGGTTTTACCTAAATTCCTGAATCTTCTGCCACCTCTAATTCTCTCATTGAGTTAGAATTTCATAGCAGTAAGACAAGAAGTCAACTGATCAAGACCTTGTTAGGACAAGTAAGCTAGACTGAAATTTATTTTCTCACTTTCCTGCAGAAGTTCTCTTTCTGCAGCTAAGTTGGGGCAACACTTTTTTCAATAGTTATTAAATTTAAGTAACAAGAAATTAATTTGATTTTACTTCAGAAATGCCAGCAAGAAAAACTGTTCCTAGAATTGGATTCCTGATCTTTTCACTACTGCTTTTGTTGCATTTTGAAATTACAGTTGATTATGCCTGAGTCTTAAAACTACACTATTTTTCCTTAATAAATTATATTCAATTCTCAATTTCATCAGTTTTGCTATTTGGTATTTAGTTAACCAGAAATATGATCCAGGCCTTAGAGCTGCAAGATTAAAATATGGTTTAAATTAAAGACATTAAATTATACTCAAAGTATCACTTAGTATATTTTCTTATAAACTTGATTCTCTGAAAATCTGGTTATCACTGTCAGCATCCCAGTTACCAGGGACAAATACAACTAATTTGTATATTATATCAACTCTATTTGTTTAAAACCCTCCGACATACTGTGTGATATATTTTTTGATCCCCATTTTAATCACTAGAAAACCCAAGTTAATAGTAATAAGTGTTGTTTAAAAATGTCCAGCTCCGCATCCATTGTTCTCCTTTTAATCCCCAGGTAGAAAATTTCGCCTTAGTCTATCCCAGTTCTCAATGTAGGACAATTTTGCTACCTGCCCACAGAGACCACTCAGCAACATTGAGACATTTCTGATAATCACATCTTCTGGGGGGAGTGAGTGCCACTGGCATCTAGTGGGTAGACTCCAGGATGCTGATAAACACACTATAATGTATAGGATGGGCCCCCCCAAAACAAAAAATAAAATCATCTAGTTCAAAATGTTAAAACTGTGGTTGAGAAACCCTAGTATGACACAATATTCCTCAAAATGTCTTCTTACAGGTGATTACACAGTCCCATCCTGGATTTTCCTAGAACCATAACTAGGTGTGCATTTAATACATGTTTGAATACATGTTTTAAACGCATTTCAAACGCTGAGTTTATTATATAAATTGCAAAGTAATAGAAATTTGGGGACTGCAATGCCAATTACTCTATATATTGTTATATGAATGCACAGTAGTGAAGAAATTATATATATTTGAAATGCTTTCACTGATCTGATTGTTGCGGTCTTTATTCTGTTTGATAAAGGGGGGGACACTGATTTCGGGAAGCAAAGGGGAATAGCATATTGTAGACATTTTTGTTTTTGCGTTTGTTAAGGCACAATGAAGCCACACCATGAGGCAAAAAAAACTGCTTTCTTGATTTTATTTCAAAAGTACACAAGGTCACAAAACTAGAGCAAGTTTTCTGTTTTTTTAAAACAAATTTTGTTTTTACAAATTTCAAAATCTGCACCATTGGATACTAAATCCAGAAACTATAAATACAAAGTCATTTTTGAAACTGACACTATCCATTCTCTACTTGTATATGTTAAGTGTCAAAATATCAGAAGCACAAGTGTATTTCTCACAAAAATTGAGTTAGGGATGAGAATAAGTGAATCAATGAATTGTGGTTCCCTTAAACACTTATGTCATTAAATAAACTAGTAGAAAACACAAGAGTCATTCTTTCCTTGAGCTGAACTTTTTAGTGTTCATGACCAAAACCAAACCCAAAAGATATTCACCACAAAATAGGGGATTCTGTAAAACTAGATTTTAATGAAGAAGCCAAACACAGTGAATAATTCCTGGTATTACCATCCATAAAATAAACAGAACCACAATTCACAAATCATATCATTCTTCCCTTCATCTATAACATTAATAACTAAGATTTGTGCTCAGTTGTGAAACGTGTCAAAATAGGCAAATGACTAAAAATTCCAACTGCAGAATATGTTGCCTTTTTTGCAAGAATAGTCAAAGGCATTTGAAATATTAAAACTTGCCCAGAACATGTATACTACTAAACACAGGAATATTATAAAGATGTAGGTACATATATAATATATAATGTCACAAGCCACTAAAAAGTTAAAATTGTGCCAACATTTTCTATAAACTATTTCTATGTGACGCATCAAAACATTGATCACATAAAATATGGACAAATAAGGCATCTGAAAGCCCTAAACACTGCTGAGATGAAGAGATTAGGGAAAAAAAACTTTAAAGGTTCACATAACTTCAAACTGACATGCTGCACACACACACACACACAAATCAGAGAATAGTTATTTTAAGAGCTATACATTACAGAATTTGATATAGAACTTCATGCAACCAGTTATTTTTATATTTAACCAAAATGTTTACCTGCCCCTTCACTAGCTCCAAATTTCCACAACTCAATCTCTTAATTAAAAATCCTTTTAGTAAAATCAGAATTTCTTCATATCCATAGTCTAACTGCGTTTCTTCAATTAACATCCCTGTCAGACACATGCAGGCTGTGTTTCCGTTGTAACAATCCCATGGTAGATAGCCCAAATTTAAAGGGAATGATTTGTTTGGAAGAACTAGCTGGTGTAATCGAGAACAGGTTTTATTTGTTTTTGGTTTTGCCTGCTAACAGGGGACTATTAATAAAATTGTCAATAAGAAAAAGAACACCTGTTGCAAACCTGTTGTCACTTATCTTTAAAAAAAAAATACCTGTAAACTACATATTCAAAATTCAGAGTTAAGTAACTCTACAGCAGCATTTCTTTTCAACATAATTGCTTTTCATGTTACACTGCTTCACTCAAAACCATGGTGCCAAGTCTGTGTAAAGTAGAATCAGGCAGCTTCCGAGATGCAGCGCCATCTTGCCTACTGTTGTTTGGCTTGAATGATTATATGTTGAACAGCTCAATGATTACCAATTGTAATTGTAGAAAAAATATTTGATCTCTGGTTTAACTAAAATCATCACTGAGAATTCGGGAAGTTATCAATAATACCTGACCTCTGGATTAACTGAAATTTATAATGCGAATACCTGGAAGATATTACCTAAAATTGAATTCTGTCCTCTAAACTCAGTGACACCAATAGGTCTCCTTCAGGTGACAGGAATGATTTTTTTACCTGCTCCCTTCTCAGGTTGTAGTTGGTATGGACCTGAACTATAAGTATTTTTGAAGAGATTCTGATTTACTTATCGCCAAATCTTACATATTTCCAGCTTTACATAATCTTCATTACATCAAAACTGAGACAAGGGAGGACCGAAAATTTTTTATTCAAATTTGTGCTATTACTTCTGGTAATATCTTACAAATTTTGCTCATATAAAACAGATATGTATCATTCAAAAACAGTTATAAAATCAGAAACACATCAAGAGTGTTGGGGATGTAGACATTTTTATATCTATGTGAATAACAGTCAATTAATTTGCATCCACGAAGGAACAGAGAAGAGGAGGTCAGACAGAGAATATGAGGATAAAGAGGTGTCACAGTGATACATCTAAGGAACAGTACCTTCACCTCTAAGCACCCTTTAGGTGATAGCTAGCTCATAGGCACCAGAAATTCATAATAAAAATTAAATTACCCAAAAGGCACAAATGAAAAATGTTAACACAAGTATAAAAAGCAGTATTATGAAAGGTTAAAAACCTATTTTTAAAATGCTTCCAAATATGTAAAACTATACACTAATCCATTACACATTCAGCTTAAATTTACCATTAAAGTGTACACAATACACCGCCTAGCTATAAACTCATGCCAACGTTGATTTATAATGCAGCACTGCTCATCACAGCACCCAAAGAGATGATCAGAAACCAACTCCCTACTAAAATCTAGGGAAAAGGTTTTAGAGCTAGTGAAATAATTTATTGCAGACCTTATTTACTATAAAGAAATTGTTGGCTCATTCTACTATATCCACACTCCCTCACAATCTTAAGGGAAGTAACAATAAACTCACTTTCTTCTACAAAAACAATATTTAACACATTTGGCAGTTAGGAGTATTCTACTCCTTTTCCTTTCATTTTTTAAAAAGAATATTCACTTTCACAAAATGAACACTCAAACTTCAAAGCCCAAATTTATTTTCTGCAACTACACAAAGACACGTTGGCCATACAATAGCAACCGTACATCCTCCCCAAGTCTGAAACACAGCACTGGTGGAGGACATGTACAGCTTAAAATGTATTTCATTATTCTGAATCTGTGAAGAAAATATTCTCCAGGAACTGCATTCAAGAGGGTAAATTTTAGATTATGTGTTTCTAGAATATATAATATGCAACACCATCCAAAACATGAAAGCAAAAAAATGTAATTTGGAACCAAGAAATCGGGAATTTTGATCTGTAATTGTCAATAAATGAGTTAGAACTTTTTTTCATTAGAAAAATACCACTTAAGGTGGACAGCCAGTATTTAGATGGGAACTACAAAACTACAGCCTTGATCTGGCTGGTCACTGTTCCGAAGACATCCACGAGTCTCAAGGATAAATCCATCCCTGCTATCATACCTGTAGTGTCACTGCTGTAGCTGAGAAGGTGATTTTTAAGTGAATCTTACAGATGCCAATTATTTTAGCAGGTTAAGAGCTTCCTATGTACTTGGTGCCTGTAGTGTCTACCAATGAATGATCTAAAAAATCATTTTATAGACAAGGTTATGAATGAACTCAGAGGTAAAACTAGCAATTTCTAATTGCTATAAAAATGCTATAAAAGATGCTACAAAAATAATAAACATTAATTTATGCAAGCATTTTTTGCCAGTAATGCTTCTTTACCAATTTGGGGTGGGGAGGCTAGTGGGTTAAAAACGAAGAAAGGCCTAATAAAAATAACGACAGAAATTATAAAGTACCACTTTCAGATGATTCAAGTATCAACTGGGTGTGCATAAGTTCACCAATTTCTTCATCTCGTATTTCATATTCAAAGTGCTACATTCTTAATTAAGTATTGATATTTAGAAACCTATAAAAGTCAACCTTTTAAAGGCTATCTTTTCCCAATAGTGAATTTGTCTTTAGAAATTTAATGCCTTTACTCTTTCAGTACAACCAAACAAAATTTTTTGAAGTATATTTCTTACAGTTTGTGGTTAACTTTTCTTTTTGCTGTATTTTGAGACTAGTAACGAAATTTAACAGAGGTTTTCTTTCCAGAGAAGACATGAAAGTAGGAGAGCACAGATGTAGCTGCAGAGGCTCTATACTATAGACCCGTCCTTGCTCTGTGCTGGAATCATCACAGGCACGGCTCCCATCCTACTTAGATTAGGCGCAGCTACCTTAGCAGGTGGGAGAGTTGGGCTCTGAGGAGCGCGTTCAAAGTCTTCACTCGGTACTTGGTTATACTGAGTCTTAGAATATCCTTCCATATTGGAAGGAGACATGGATCCCAGGGATGAGTGATTGCTGCCGATGTAGCTTCTGGCAGTGGACGTGCGGCTCTTTGGGGGAGGCACATCTTCCCTATGAAAGCAAAGACCCCAAAACAAGTTCAAGAAACAATTTTCTAAAAAAACTACAAGTATGCTAGCTATGAATCATGTAGTTGTGAGGGACAGACCCTCTATTTATATATAAGTATGTAAAAGCTTATGTGTCCCCCACAAAAATATAAATGCATTAAGATATAGCAGTGTGAACTATAAACTATGTATCCCAATTATGATTTACAGAGTATAATGAAATATGTTTTTTTACAAAACATGAATGATTCTACAATGTTGTCTTACAAGGAGCAAAGCTCAAATATTTGCCTATACTGGTGTATCACCCATCAAGATAATCTAGTTTCTGTCAGGTAACACTTCAGAGCTGACAAACACTAAAAACTGCAGATATATTTCTACCAAAAAACCTTTTTGTTATGAAAATTATCTTAATACCTTTTCTGAATACATATTTAAGTTGGCATAAAATGGGAATTTGGGCATAAAAAATTTCACACCAAACACTGACAAAGAATATGTGCCTGAGTTATCTCTGGTGCATTTAAAAAAAAACACAAGTGGGCCTCCCCTGGTGATGCAGCGGTTGAGCGCTGGGCTGCGAAGCTGCCCGCAGCCTCTGCAGCGCCGGTTCGATCCCCGGGCCCTGGCGAGGGTCCCACATGGCACGCAGACCTCTCCTGCCGCCCGCTGCTCCCCTCAGCAGTGTACTTTGTCAGTCTGCCTGTTCTATTCCCAGCTCTGGCTCTGGTGAATTCTCTCACCCTCCTGTGCTTCTGACTGTACCCAGTGCTTGTATAAATAAATAAATAAATCTTTAAAAAAAATAAAAATAAAAAAACACAAGGCCCAGACCCATGTGCACAATGTCAATTTCCTGGGTATTATTTAATTTGTTGTTATTTTTAAAGGTTCTGTAATTCTATGTGCTCTGCTAATTAAGATTTACAAGTTTAGAATACTTCTTAAAAATAAAAATTAAGGTGGATGTTAGCTGAACCTATTGTAATCATTTTCACACACGTTAATCAAATCATTATGCTTGTAAACCTTAAACTTATGTAGTGATATATGTCAGTTTTTCTCACAACTAGAAAGATGCAAATACATAAAAATCACATCATCAAAAGTGCTATAAACTACCTATATCACTTGATAGAGTCAGGTTTTTTTTTTTTTTTTTTTTAACAAAGAGAAACCTGCACCCCCCGACCAAAAGAAAAAAAAAAACACAACCCTCAACATGTTTTTAAAAACCTCATACCTGTATTTTATTTGGAGAAGACAGACTAAACTAGTTTGAGATAAGCATTTTGTAGTGTTTCTTAAAATAGGATCCAATAAGCAGACAAGTATGGGTATGTGGGGTGGGGTGGAGACTGCAAACTGAAACTGACTGCGACTGAAAGCAGAAGCAATCAAATGTGTATGTAGAAGGGAAGAACTCTCTTACCCAATTTTCATAAGGGAAGATGTTTCAGATGGATATGGAAATTAGTACCTTCGAAATATAATAGACGTAATAAACATCAATCAACTCTTGTGTCACTTAATTACCTGATATCATGATGAACTTCCTTTTCATATTTTTCTTCTCTGCGCTTTTTACGACAACAAAAGACGATTAGACCAATGAGCACTAGAGCAAGTAAAGTTCCTATAACTGCTCCTGCAATTGTTCCAGCTCTATTTGAAGCTAAAAGAAGACGTTAATAAAGTAAGTCTATATTCAGTCATATTGAAAGGATATACTTTAAGTCAATTGCATTTAATACATTAATGTTGACAAGCAAATTAATTAGCTTTTTCTTTTTGATCTTTTTAATTTTAAAAAAAATTAAAATTTTTTTTTTCTAAACTACACAATCTACAGGCATACATTATTTTATTCCACTATGCTTTATTGTGAATCTCAGGTACCACATGGTTTTTAAACAAATTGAAGGTTTTGAGGGAACCTTGTGTCAACAAGTCTACAAACACCCGTTACAACAGCATGTGCAGCATTTGTAACATAAAGTGTCTTTAAATGAAATATTTACATTGCTATTTTAGACATAATACTTGTAGGGTAAGGTTAAAAAAAAGTGTCAGGCTTTTCAGCCCTCCCGCCATTAGGAGAGATGATGGATCCCTGCGGTCCTGAATGCATGCCTGATGGCGGGCACCTGGAGTAGGGTGAGGGCATGCGTAAGTGGGGTACACCTGGGCTGAGAGACTGGGCTTATCAGGGTAGCGTCATGGGGACGCCAGCAGAAGCGGAACCACGAGAAGAGCAGAGAAGCAGAGAGAACACAAGAGAAAGCCGGAGAGCTCAGATAGTGAAGACTTGCTGGGGGCTAGGAGGCCTACCAGCTTCCTGGCCCCACAGCACCCCTAATCTGCCGTGTGCCTGGTAAATCCCAATAAAAGCCTGCAAAAGCCACCGAGGGCTCCAGGACTCACTCTTCCTTCACCCGTCTGCTCGGGTCATAGAGATCCTGCTCCGTGACCTTCCTGCCTTTACAATGCTATACTGCACACTATACTACCATATAGCAGAAACATAACTTTTATGTGGACTGTCAAGTCAAAATGTTCTTGTGACTCTCTTCATGGTGATATCTACTTTATTGGTATGGTCTGAAACCAAAACTGCCATTATCTTTGAGTTGTGCCAATATTTCAAACATGAACGTGATAAAATTAAACTAAAAGGTTTTAATATTCATAGCTCTCTTGATTGGCATATAAGAATGTTCTAAATAGCTAAATATAGTAAAAGTTGATTTGACAATGCTTACTTTCTTAATGATGCTACAAAAACAGAATTTTTTAACAAAATATAATTATTTTTTTCCTTTTTATGACTTAAAAAAGCTGCATACCAAGCCACAACATGCTCTGCTCAGTTAGATCACCGTGCCCTCGATACACACTGACAGACTGAACCAAACGAGGGTGAATGAAGATGAAGGACACGAACATTCTCACAAACAGTGAAAAGAAGATACTCACGGGGAACAACATTCAGGCGGAGCGTGCACTGATCAGAGCCCACTCTGTTTTTGACTGTACAGCTATATACTCCAGAGTACTCAGTACTGGCATTTTTTACAGATATAATTGGTGAATTCATTTCTGTGGGGAAAAAAGACCCATTGCTGAGTGTTCAGTAAAGGTAAACCCTACTGAGGACCTCCCTGGTGGCGCAGAGGATTGAGCGCAGCACTGTGAAGCTGTTTGCAGCCTCTGCAGTGCCGGTTCGATTCCTGGCCGGCCAGGGAGAAAACCCACATAGTGAGGCAGACCTCTCCTGCCTCGCCCGCTGCTCCCCTCAGCAGTGTCTTTGGTCCATCTGCCTGTTCTGTTCCCCGCTCTGTCTCTGGTGAATCCTCTCATCCCCGCACATCTGGCCTGTACCCCAGTTCTTGCATAAATAAATAAATCTTTAAAAAAAAAAAAGGTAAACCCTACTGAGAGTGACAATACAGGTAAAAGCCAAGACACACTGAGGTTGGGCGCAAAACAAACTGCCAGGAGCCACATGCATGTCTCCAGATTGCACACGGCTGTGCTTCCTGTTCATGTGCATCAAGGCAAAGCATAACCATGGTCCATAGCCAGGCACAGCGAGCCTCACCTGAAGCAGTCACATTGATAATAATGAAAAAAAAGAAAAAGAAAACCCTATGCCACAAAGGTTTTTTTGGTGCAGCAGACTCCTCCAGGTTGGGGGCGGCGGGAGACCAAAAACATACAAAGAATCATACAGATTGGCCTTTAGCTTGAAAAGAGAAAGGGAGGCAGGGAGAAATCCTACTAAGACCAATCTGGGGAGGGTGGAGCGTGACAAGAAGTCTGAATAACAGGTCACCTGCAACAAATGGTAAAAGATCAGATTTAACCAATGTGTAGCTTCCTATTTAGCTTCACATATTTTCTTTTTACAGACATATCATAGGTAAATGATCACATCTTCAACACAAACCCACTTAAAATGTTCAAGATCCAACTCTTGTTATCTAATTTACAATCATGAACATTTTCTATTAGTACATCCATCAACTAAAAATACATATCAAAGAAGCTAATTAAAGTATCTTAAACAGCTAAATCATTTTTAAAATATGTCTTCACTTATACTATGTGACACTAAGTCGTTACAAAACAATAAGGAATTCCCATGGAATCCTAACTGTTCTGTAAAGAAAAGTAAAGGTATTTGGAAATTAAATATAATCACACAGACCCTACTAGATTTAGTCCTACTCAATCAGCAGAATTGGCAGTACCTGCTAACCACGAGGTGGGCAGTTTCTGGGACTCAGAGACCCTTTGCCATTCATATCGTAATGGGAGTGAGCCTTCTTTTGGTTCGCATTTTAGTTTGAAGTCATTTCCAATTTCTTCTAATCCATCAACGTAACACCTTGTACCTGAAGGCTTAACTGAACAAAGAAAATAAACAATTTTATGCGAAAGAATAAGATTTCTGTTTATAACAATGACTTAAACACATAGCATGCTACACAACCACTGAGTCATTATCAGGTGGTTCTGGGTCCAGAGTGGACGAGACCAAGAAACTAGTCAACGCCAGTTTACTTGGCTTTATCCAACACAAAACAAGCAAGGATGAGCTCAGGCAAGCAGCCACTGCATAAGGAAGCTGGGCAGCATCTGCGGCGAGGCTTGTACCCCTCCATTCCATGGGGTACATCTGAGAAAAGCAAGGATGATGCAGGTTGGGCCATTTCAGACTCAAGGAAGAGTCCCCCCTCCATTCCTTACCTATTCTCCCACTCGGTGCTTGACCTGCAGCCCGCTAGGAGTATGTGCCATGTCACATCCCTCTGGGCGCCGTTACCCCGCCAATCAGGGGGTTTATAATAATAATGCTGATAACAGGGACAATTTGCTTAGTGCAGCCAGGACCAAGGAACATTCTACATTTACATTAACCCAAAAATATCCAGAGAACATTGTTATAAAAAAAGTAACTCTGAGGGAACTCCCTGGTAGTGCAGGGGTTAAAGTCTCAATGCTATCAAACTTTTCCCAACCACTGTGGCATGAGTTCGATCCCCAGCCAGGGAGCTGATGCACATGGGGCAGCAGACCTCTCCTGTCTCACCCGCTGCTCCCCTCAGCAGTGTATTTCAACAGATCTGCCTGTTCTGCTCCCCACTCTGTCTCTGGTGAATCCTCTTACCGCCCCCCACCCCCAGCACCTCTGGCCTATACCCCAGTTCTTGTATGCATAATTAAAAATAAATCTTTAAAAAAAAAAAAAAAAACTGACGTTACAGTCCATCTGTCTCTGGTGTAACTGTTTAAAGCAGCTGCTAACACTGTTAATGACAACTCACCCAACACTGGATTAATACCTTAGCATGTCATACTCAGCCCTGCTGAGCTCTATTAGGAGCATAATACACAAAAAATAAAATTAACAAATCTTAATTGCATGAGTTGATAACTTTTAACAAGGGTGTGTATATATGGATACGGACATACTACAGAAAAGATGATGTGGATACACATTCCAGTCCTCTCCCAAGCACCTTCCCTCCTGTTGGTTGCTGAAGTCTCACGTGACAACCCTGGCCCCAGGCAGCCACTGAAGTGATTTCTATCATGACAGATCAGTTCTGCTTTTCTATAAACAGAATACAATCTGCACTTTTGTCTTCTGTTCCTGGTAAGGCTTCAGAGATTGATCCATGTTGAGCACATCAGTAGTTAACTCTTTTTTTATTGCCGAGTTGTATTCTAGGGACTATGACATAAAGTTGCTCATCTGTTCACCTACAAATGAATTCTATTTTTGGCTACTCTTAAAGAATAGTTACATCAACCAGGAGTGGGTATATAGTCTATCAATGACAGATTGATCAATGAGGACAGCACGATGACCCCTACAGAAGGCCAGTGGACAAGAGCGAGGAGAGGATTCTGAAGGCTTCAGAGGAGAGTGAAGAGATCAATTCTAAATCAGATGCTGGGTCTTGAGAAAGGATCAGAAGTGCAGATAAAATAGAGATGAGCCATATAGCACTGAGTATGCCAGTAAAGGGAGGGGGTAGACCCAGTCCGCCTGGAGAGCTCTGAGGAGACAGCAGCAGTCCGTTTACTGCTGCTCCACCGCCTTGGGAGGATGTGTTTCCTTATAAACTGTGTCAAGTTTCATCTGCTTCAGTCCTGAATAAAAGCAGCCTGATAAATGGCAGACCTTCTTTTCTTTTTGTCTGAGCTGGTTTTCAATATTTCAGTCCCAGATGGGCTTGTGATACTTGCTCTGCTATAAACAAACATGTATGGGCTTTAGTTCTGCACTATGAACAGCACTGCTTGAACACTCCAGTAAATATTGGGATGTTTTTCTATCCTTTAGTGTTAATTGCTGGGTAAATATGGTTAATGTATAACTCTATAAGAAGCTGTCAAACTATTTTGACTGTTTTCTGAAGTTGGCCAACAAGATCTGTCATATTCAGGGGGGCATCTTTAAAGATGTCAATCATGACTTCATTTCTTCAAACATTTCTTGATAATTCACAATTTTGATTACATTTCACCCCCTCATCTGTGCTACTTGTACTTTTTAATAAGGACTCAACAGATGCACTTAACTGCATTGTTGATTTTCCTAAGCAAATCTGTTCCTTTTTTCCTGGGTTGATCAGTTGTCTTAGCGATGATATCATTTGGACTTTTAAATAAGTTTGTAAATCACTTTACCCTGCATGTCTTCAATGAAATGAGTCTTGCTCTTCATTTTCCAAACTACCAATAAATCCTTTAGTACATAAACTAGCAGCATGATATAAAAGCAATGCTTGGTACAAACAGTCACTGGTAACAAAGTACACTAACCCTAACTACCGTCATCTTTTTTGCTGAAAATATCCCTTTACCAAACAGCAAATATAACCAATAATGGGCAGTTACTCAAAGCTGCTGCTCAGGAAAGGGAGAGCCCAAATGAGTCTGAGATGTCAGCACATCCCATCCACAACAGAACAACACTTCACCAACACTGGTTTCTGAGTATTATTTTGGAGTAGCCTTCCTGCTTCCCACTGAGAGGAGAAAATACAAATCTGTTGCATGCCAAACCCCAACCTCACACAACAGACAATTAACTCCTAATCCACAGCACTCTTGCTGGATCAAAAGAATGGTAACACCAAACAGGGTATACAGGTTAAGTCTTGTCCCCTGTTTCTTTGGTCCGGGGGTTCCAGAACACCTGGTTGTTATCTCAGGTTCAGGTACATCACTGTCAACTTGTACTTGGTCAGTACCCCATCAATATAATAATGCTGTGCTCCACATGTAATTGCACCATTGTTTCTTCATGCTGGTGTCCTGAGCCTACTTTCTATTCCCCTATACAGGACAAGATAATATGTAATTACATCATTCATCCAGGAGTGATATTTCTGCTTGGCTCAAAAGATCTTGACTTGGGCAAAATCTATGCACAGCTGCTAAAAATCTGTGTGTAAAAGTTTGAGGAGAAACATGATATTTGCATACTCAAAGTGTCTTGCCCCCCAATTTTTTTAATTAGAGGAGAAAACGGTAATTTTATAGTAGAGAAACCCACCAGAAAAAAAATAGGTGATCATATACCTTTGACATGCCTGGAGGAGACTAAGAAGATATAAATGCAACCTGACCCTTGCACCAAAAAAACTAGTTGAAAACTGCAATTCTATTATGGTCTGAATTTAGTTAGTAGTACTGTCCCAACATTAATGTCTTGGTGTTGGTAAACATACTATAAATTTGTAAAATGTTAACATTAGGAGAAATTAGATGGTGGGCATATTCAGGAACTCTCTGGTATTACTGTAACTTTTTGATAACTACTAAAATTATTCAAAGAAAAATACCCCACCTGTGCCAATGGCTTATAAATCTCTCAGGTCTGGAAGGGCCAATGATGGCTAAGCCACCATACATGCTGTAACTACAGAGCTCTCTCTGGTGGGTGGGTAGCCTGTACTAGATTCACCCAAGTAACTTCATGAGCATGCCCCACTGTTCAAAACAACCAGTGTGTTTATAATGAAAGGTCTGAAAAATAGGCCTTTTCAGAGTTCTGGGGGGAAGTGTTAGTGATATCCGGCCACCACATTAACACTCCAGATAACGACTGTCTGTGTTATCACCCCCCTTTTTGGCTTCTTCACTGAACTGCATCCACATGCACTTTTGGGTTATTTGAAAGAGTGCACAGGCTGGTGGCAAGGCTGCAGCCTCCAGCAACATGTACCCTTCACACCCAGGCAAACATGTGTCATTCTGGTTCATTTCCACACAGCACAATGAATGACCTCTCACCACGGTGGCCACCATGATGGCATCTCCTCCAGATTTCCCAGAGACAAATCAAAGTTTGAGACAGTCTCTATCATGAACCCAGCAAGAGCTCCACTGGGCCACTTTCGGTCTGGTCCCTAGAGGGCACTTTCATCTTTCCTCAGATAATCCAAGCAGAACATTCAGGCAAAGCCAACAGATAAATTTCCTTCAACTCTCACTTTTAAGGGAAAATTCTGGTGGTTTTTCTCATTAGTGGTCATGACTCATCTACAAACATGGAAGAGAATCACAAAAAACCCTATGGCTCTGAGAGAACTTTCCCAGATCAGATTATGAGTCACCCTACTTCTCCCTTCTACAACCACTCTTCCCTTTTCCCTCTTACCCGCCCCCCATCCCCCTTCTTTGTTTGAATTCAGAGCTTGTTTGGTCGTGATGATCCCCCCAAGAGCTAAGAGGAGTCACTGTACTATTTTGGGGCTTCTCATTTATCCATCCAGAGGAGCTAGATATTGGGCTTGTGGGGTTTAATATAAAAGGGCCACTCCTCCTGCCCTGGCAGTAATGGCTGTGGCCAGGAGTGAACTCAGTCACACTATGTGTCAGTCACTACTGTCCAGCGCAGCTAAAAGTTTAATAACTTAAGCCCAGTTCTGGATTATGTGCTGCCTTGCGCTGCACTGATCCCTTCAGTCAAAACCTACAAATTCAATCTAGAACCTGAATCAGCCTCCTATCCACCCACCCCCACTCATTTTCACACATACAAATTGTGTTTGTCTACATCTGGGAATTCACGCCAAGTATTTTCCTCCTAGTCTACATGCTCCAAAGATTTCACAATAAATAATGCTGAGAAACAAATATAATGTAGTTGGCACATCATGAAATAGTTAAAATTCCATATGTATCTTAACCTACTGCTTCCAGCTCAGCAGTGTTGAACGATGCAGTGAAGTTATGTTACAATGCCAGGTATGACTGGGTCTGGGATAAGAGTTCCAAGAAGTTACTAAACTTTTACCTGCTTACACATGATAAGCTATCTCCATGTTTATTCAATATAGACACAGAAAGCTAGAATTCCCACCGTTACCACATTCCTTTTTCTGGTTCCTTGTTGAGCTTCATTTGCTTTCATATCATAGGAACATTCTGACCAAGTACTTTTAGAGAAAGACATCTTTTACTAGGACCAAGGTAATAAAATTACCTTATCAAATCTCTGAAGTTACCACTGGGAGGCACAAAAATCTGCATTCTTGTTCCTAATCTCTTATCTGCTCTGCTACAGTCCACAGGAAAAAAGTGATGTGCTAAGTTGAAAATCTGGAACCCAACTCACTTTTCTACTTCTCTACCCTCCCCCTAATCAGTTCTTTAAAATACAAGGAATGAGGTAGAAGTTGGTGTTGGGGAAACTGGCTTCGATTATATTTCCAGGAATACACTAGACAATTGTAGTCTTTCCTATGTGCCCCCAAACAGAAGACCTTAGATCACGAAATGGAGTTTACACAGCACAGGCAGACTGTTTTTTGCTTCTACATTAGAGCAATTGCACTTCTCTGAATTCCACCACAGTAATATTTTACAAGTATATTTATTTATGAACAATCACCCTTCAGAGTTTCTCAATTTGAAGGATTTGAGAGCCTATGCACAACCACAGAATCTAAGGATAAAAACCCTGCAGTCTTTTTTATAGTTTACACAGCAGTTTACACCAATTTCCTCAGCAATCAAAGCTAGTACAAGGTAACTGAGTAACCATCACTTAAGCCCCTTAACCATAAGTGAAAAACAGTGAAATGGCTGGCTGATGTCTAATGCCCTTAGCCATATCTCAACCCATAAAATCTCATTCTTTAGGCAATGTAGTTTGAACATGCTTAGAGCATCCATAATACACAATTTTGAAATGACTGCAAACAGACAGATTAAATGATAATTAAATTTCTTTGAATGTTTCAAAAAGCTAGACTGAGACCCAGGACGATGAAGAAATTCTCAGGGAAAAGGCAAGGATAACACATTAAAAGAAACCTGGATTCCTACCTCCTGGCTTAAGGTTTTTCTCCCATTATCACAAAACTCCATCTACTGTCAAAAAGTCTTAGAAATTTCACGAACAAACTGGTCACTTCTTATTTTCTCTCTCCAAAAAAGTGTGCTATGCATATATTGTACAAAAATGAAAAATAATGTAAAAAATACATAAAATTAAAAAAAAAAAGTGTGCTAGGTTTGTATTTTATACTGAGGACTGTAGAATCACTTCAAATATTTAAATTACTCCAAGAAATTACGCTTTGTGTTACATAAATGGTTCCACAGTACTGTGACCACTCACCCTCTCAAAAAAGCAACATGAATACAAACACCTTACCAAGAACTGTGAGCTGAATCTTCTTACTTTCAACACCAGGAGCTTTTTTCACTTTGCACTGATAGGTGCCGATATCTGACAACTGTAGATTTGTTACATTTATTGATGCATCACCAGATTTGAGATCACTGCTTGTAAAATGTACTCGTCCTTTTAGATCTTTATAGTAGTCCTCATAAATTTTGTCTCCAGAATATAAAATAATCTAGAAGAAAACCAAATCAAGAAGGAAAAAACAAACCCTCTCATTAAAGTAAACATTATGGTATTGTGGCATTTTAAAAAAAGTAAGAACATAGTATTATGACAAAACCTATAATTAATCAAAACATAGAATAAAAAAAAGTAAAGATCTCAACATGACACTTAAGAATCATCACACGTTCTCATTTTAAATTGGGAAATGGACGGCAAACAGAACTATATTTGTGGAAACTGAGCAAGAACAGATTTGTTAATTCCTCTGTGCCCTAATTCTCATATGTCTCAGAAGCTGCAGTAGAGCATACACTTGTATACAATCAGGTACATACCACAACCCCATTCTTCAATAAGGTTTGTGATCGTTTCACTGTGGAATCCAACAAAAAAGGTATTTTTTAATCTTAATACTAAGTTGAAAATACATGAGGGTTCTAGACTTTAAGACATAAAAATCATGAAGTAAACTTCTTAAGAAAAGTGTGCCGGGTGAGTAAGACCTCTCAATTAATCTCCTTTGCCTAAGAGCAAATACCCATTCCAAATTTCATGGAGACTTCTGAGTCACCATCACAGGTTTAATGAAAGAAATAAAGGCAAGACTTAGATGGAACATTAAATCCTGAGTTAAACTTGAACTTGGAAGAGAATCATAATAGTCATCTCTATCACTAAAATTAATTTTAACACACTTTATAATTTTTTACATTAGGCTAATGAAATTTTCCATTCTGGTCATTTGAGACCAAAGAAAGCAGTGCCAAATCAAATAAACACTAGAAAACACATCTGTAGTCTACACCATGCAATTAATTTTATCTGAAATGTCAATTATTGACATTACAATCAGAATTAGTGTGTCTGCAGGAATTTTCTTTTTTTTTTTTTTAAAGATTTATTTATTTCGCATACAAGAGCTGGGGTACAGGCCAGAGGCATGGAGGGTGAGAGGATTCACCAGAGACAGAGTGGGGAACAGAACAGGCGGAGTGACTGAAATACACTGCTGAGGGGAGCAGCAGGCGAGACAGGAGAGGTCTGCTGCGCCATGTGGGTATCTCCCTGGCTGACCGGGAACCGAACTCATGCAGCACAGGCTGTGGACAGCTTCATAGGCTGCATCTTAACCCTTGCGCCACCAGGGAGGCCCTGCAGGGATTTTCTTAAGGACAAAGCTTGGTTTCTGTTCTGTAGGATAACCTCCCCTACCATGTCAATCCCATTCCTGATCCGCTAATATCTTTTATTTTTATATGAAGTGTCTGCATCTAGGACACATTCAATACCATTTTGTTAAGTAAATAAAAGCAGCAACTGAAGGGGCCTCCCTGATGGTACAGGGGGCTAAGCACAGCACTATGAAGCTATCAGAGTTCAATTCCTGGCCAGGGAGCTAACCCATTTGGCACAGCAGACCTCTCCTGTCTCACTCGCTGCTCCCCTCAGCAGTGTATTTCAGTAGAACCATCTGTTCTGCTCCCCACTCGGTCTATGGTGATTCCTCTCATCCCCGCCCCCCACAGCACCGGCCTGCACCCCAGTTCTTTTATGCAAAAAATAAAACAAAAAAATTAAGTGGGCCTGACAAAAAAATATTTCCCTACCATGAGTTATTTTGTAAACTTAGTATTTTCCCATGAAAACCATGTTATAAACAGTAATCAAGAAACAGAGAACTAAAATATTTACCAGGCAATTCTGATTCCTCTTCAAAATGTTGCAAGGATGGTGGGCATTACTTACGCTAGCCTTTGGACTGAGAAAAGTAGTAGCTCTCACAGATTGAACCTTGCAATGTCACACAGCTGAGATACAAACCATTTTGACTAGGCACAATATACTGACTTTCCTAACATTTCTATATGACTTTAAGCTTACAGAATACTAAGCATATAATATTGCAATATTCATCACAATGATAAGGTAGGTATATTTGGTCCTATTTACACATAAGGAAACAAGCTCCTAAAAAAACTGGGACGCACTGCAGCAGAGTACAAAGGATAATAGGTGTTGGGGTATAGGGTGGGGGAAGGATCAGTGAAACCGGGCTTCATACCTGAGACTTAAGCCAGAAAAATTTACAACCTGTGCTCTCCATTCATTCATCTTAACCATGGAGCCGAGTCCTCAATTCTCGAGAGGATCGGCACTGCCCTGGCAAAGGTGTGCAGAATATGCAGGACCTCAGAGAGAAACCTGGTTTTGGGGGGTTGGCACTACCATAGACACAGAATGGGTGGGTAATGGCACAAGGCAGATAAGGATGGGGTATCTGGAGTGAGTATGCACCGTGAGTGTTCAATGTATTTCTGCTTAAGGAGGCAGAAGGGCTTAGTAAAGGGAGGTCCCACAGTAGAATCAGGACAGAGGCCTGCTATGTTCTGGGAGGGGATGTCCCCAGGGAAAGGGAAAGAACCTTTCATTTAAAAATACATCACAAAGCAAACTGCCCTGATTTGCCAAAAATAGTAAACTACCCAATTGTACCAATTCTCCCACTAAATACATCAGTAACCCCTTCTATGCACTATAAGTAAAAATAAAATTTCTCTTCCAATATATTACCATATTTCTCTAATATTTTAACTTGTTTTTCTCACCCTGGTCTAATATATTAGTATTGATTTCTTTCAAATTATATGTGTCAAACAAAACTAACATGAAAATTCTATATTAAGTGAAATATTTTGGTACCATTAAAAGGTAGACAATGATACATGTATGTAAAGAAGAGATTATTGAAGAGATTATGATACATGTATGTAAAGAAGAGATTATTATTATGTTCCTCCTTTGTGCTACTTTTGTCTTACCAAGCTTTCTATATTAGCCTCTTGTTACTTCTTAATTTGAAAAAACTCTTCAACATTTTGATAATTAGTATTTTAAATTTAATATAAAATATTTTATGAAATTTTTTTACTATACTTTGTTTTGCTTTTAATGAAATTATACAGGCTATTTAACTTAAAGAAATACAGAAAACAGACTAACAATACATACCCACATTACAGGCACCGTGCTATACTCGATGGTAACAGAGCACTTGTGCAAAATTAACAGATTCAATTCTAACTCAGATTCAATTTGAAGTCCAGCCTTTTGGCCACCCCACGACTCTGCACACCACCCCTGCCACACTATCAGTCTGCTCCATCTCTACACTCTTCTATTGCCTCATCTCAGATACACTTCCATATAGTGATTTTCTGAATATTCAAAAAGTTCACCTTTTTCTTGGAAGTCTCTCTATGAATTCCAGTGACTTTTTTTTGTGCTAAAACCCCAATTCAGTTACTAGTTTTCTCATTGGACCGGTCCTCATTTTCACCAGAGGGGCTGCATTCCTCACCCAAACTTTAAACAGAGAAATCTGAGATTTTCTTTCTGACTCCCCAGGCCAACCCACTGAGTGATAAGCACGTGCGGGGAAACATACTGAGTGAGCAAGCATTTATCACACTTACCACCTGATCCACCTGCTGATTATCAGCTGGTGACAGCAGCCACTCAATGTCTAGTGGTCCATGGTCTTCAGAACCAAGGGTAAATTTACACGGTAGATGTGCAGTTTCCCCTTTGGCCTTCTCAATCGTCTGCTCGGGAGTAGTAACACGCAAACTTCTGGTGAAATCTAGAGAAAGAAACATACATGGACAATGCATCAGTCAGGAGCAAGCTCAGCACACCCAGCCATTCAGGAGGGGCACAGGATGAGGTGGAAACAGGTGGACATTTGGGACCAGAGTGATGGAATTCAAGCTCAGCTGTGCCCAGCTTGTAGTTTGTCTTTTTAAAAATGGAATGACAATATATTAACATCTACCCTAACATCTGTCCAACACAATTTCCTTTAAGAGCTCTGTGAACTTCCCAACTTTCTATACAGTATTAGCTTCTTTCAGGACCATATGATGACCTGGAAGAGACCCTATGTTGGCACTGTCTTGGTACATGGAAACTGCCCCACACCCCCTTCCCACACCCTAAAAACAAACCCACCAGAGCAAAATCTTAGTACATATATCTGAGTTCTAATTCACCATATTCTGATGCCTTTTTTCAAATAATAAATTACAACAGAAGAACCAAAATGAAAAATTAAAAGATCCTTTCAGACCTAAAAGAAGCTTAGTATATATCAACTACTAGATGTAATAAAATGTTAATATAAAATATTAATATAATGTTAACATTAATGAAATAAAATGTCAATATAAAATGAAAAATTTTTTTTAAAAAAGCAAGAAAGGCCAGGTTACATTGCAGAACATTATTTTCAGGCACATCATGCATGTTTATCAATATTTAGGTGCACACCTCAAATAGCAGATTAAAACTGGGTAAGACTCTTTGTGGCTCCTCCCTTGAATCAGAGACTGGCCTCACTTTAACCAATAGCATGAGCACTCCTGTGCAAGCACTAAGACGGGGCCTCAACAAACCCTGCTGCTCCCTCTTGCCCTTGCAGATTCATACCCCCTGCAACCACATGAACACACCACCCAGGAGAGAAGTGAGGTGTCTGACCAACGGCTGTGACTGCCAACACAAGTCAGCTGGGAACTCACAGCCCCAGCCCAGACCCACTATCTGCAGCCCCAAGAGAGAGCCTAGGGGCCTCCCTGGTGGTGCAAGGTGTTAAGCACTGCACTATGAAGCAAATCTGCAGCCTCTGCAGCACGAGTTCAATTCCTGGCTGGCCAGGCAGCAACCCACATGGCGAATCATGTCTCTCCTTCCTCGCCCGCTGCTCCCCTCAGCAGTGTATTTCAGTCAAGTCTGTCTGTTCTGTTCCCCACTCTGTCTTGGGTGAGTCCTCTCACCACCCCCAACCTGTATCTCTGGCCTATACCCCAGCTCTTGTACGCATAAATAAATAAATAAATCTTAAAAAAAAAAAAAAAGGTGAGACTAGAACGTCTCGCCTCAGCCTATTTAAATTGGCAACCTAGATACATGCACTACACGAGTTTTCTTTTAAAGCCTCTAAAGTTTGGTTTCACATGATACACAGCCAGGGTGATGCTACACCATCCAAACTGCTCATCTCCATTCATGTCCACATTCCTCTTTCAAAATTATTTGACATTTATTTACGTGTATAATGTCAAATGGTTCTCCTGAATTAATTTAACTCTCTGAATACTTTTTAATCATTTCTAATAAAATCCGCTTTTATTGGCTTATTTAGTAAGGCATTCTTCTACTTCTCTAGCTATACGGTTTTTCCTTTTCTCTTTCTATCAATGGGCACAGTACTTATTTTCTTGCTATCACATCACCCTTTTGACACAGCATATACTATTTTGATTTTCTTTTTTCTCTAATAAACATTATTGTGAAGTTGACTAAGGTAGGCTCAATGATTTTGTCACATCTTCTAGATGTCAATGAGCTTATTCTTTCCATACATATTGTATTTTTAAAATGCATATCCTCATTTATCATTAAATCATTAGCTTCATTAGTTGCACAAAATTGTATCTCCATCTCCTGCCTTTGTATGTTAGTAGAATAAAGAAATGGTGGCAGAATTATAATTTGATCAATTTTAAAGAAGCTAAAAAAAGAGCATTAATCTCAAATAGCCAAGAAAAGTTCCTGCTCTTGAAGATCACCTTTCTATAGCTACTAGAATTTGTTGCCTGCATTTAACCTGCCTTGTTGCTGACACTTTATGTGAGAAGATTAGAACTTATAGTAAGGGGACTCCCTTGAGTCCCTTGAGCACTGTGAAGCTGCTTGCAGCCTCTGCAGCGCGGGTTTAATCCCGGCCAGCTGGCAAGAATCCCACATGGCACAGCAGACCTCCCCTGTCTCACCCTGTCTCACCGCTGCTCCCCTCAGCAGTGTGTTTCGTCAGTCTGCCTGTTCTGTTCCCCGCTCTGTCTCTGTTGAATCCTCTCACCCTCCCGTGCATCTGGCCTGTACCCGGGTTCTTGTATAAATGAATAAATCATAAAAACAAACAAACAAACAAACAAAAAAGAACTTACAGTAAATATACTCCAAAATGAGAAAAGATATATAGGAAGAACATAAATAAGAATGAAAATTGCTGTAAGAAACCATTAAAACTCCCTGGTTACTCTGCTTCTGGAGATTTTATTTTTATAAAAATCATATGAAAAAGCTAAAGGACATCAAGACACCTAAATGTGTTCAAGCTCAAATCCTTACTCAGAATATCACTCTTCCTTGTTTGATAAGTGGTTTATGTTAAAACTGTACCTTAGAAAATAGTTTCATATGTATAAAAATGAATTAGAAAGCTATCTACCATTAACAAGTTATTTTTGAGAACTGAGATTTTTAAGAAAGGTGACTGCCCATTTCTGCTTTGTAATGAGATTTCCTTTATAAGTATACAGCTGAAGAAAATTTAAACAGATGTTTTAAAATGGTTTCCAGTATTTCTTTTAAAAAAAAATGTTTAAAAAATCCATCTGTTTTTCATTGTGTTACATGAAAATGAAAATCTCAAGATCATACAAAACAGTTATTGGGTTTCCTAGCAACATTGAAGGGCTTCTCTGCAGAGACCTAGTTTTTCAAGTGTTGCTGTATGCAACAGTCACTTGAAAGACAAAAACTATGAAAGACAAAAACCAGATATTTGGTCTAATGCAGTGTCTGGGGAGTCTTTCCTAATATTGTCCAATTCTATTTACACAGCAAATTGAGTGGTAATTTAACTTGCAAACTAGCATGACCAATAACAAATCAAACACAGTATGACAAATAATAAACCTTATAATCTTGGCATAGGTAAAATCGTGGAAAATGTTTCAAACTTACATAAGTTGTGATAAAAATGCCACATACTATCACCAGTCTTTGCTGAGTCCAGTTAATAAATGCTCAGCATTGGATTATATAAATAAACTAAATCACATCTCATTTTTGTCAGTAACCAAATTAAACCCTGTTTTCTGTTTGCCTTTTTAAATTCCAAGTTCCAAATCATTTGGATCTTTAGCACTTCTCTTCTGTCCAGTCTGATTTCTAGGTATCAAAATGATAGGAGTTCAGAGTATTTTTCTAGCCCTTGATGTTGCCAAGAAAGCTTAGGGGCCTCCCTGGTGGCGCAAGGGGTCAAGTACCACGCTATGAAGCAATCCGCAGCCTCTGTAGCAGGAGTTTCATCCCTGGCCAGCCAGGGAGAAACCCACATCGCGAGGCAGACCTCTCCTGCCTCGCCTGCTGCTCCCCTCAGCAGTATATTTCAGTCAGTCTGCCTGTTCTGTTCCCCACTCTGTCTCAGGTGGATCCTCTCACACACACCTGGCATCTCTGGCCTGTACCCCAGCTCTCATATGCATAAATAAATAAATAAATATTTTTTTTAAAGGCAAGCTTAGAAGATCTATTCTTTTTTTTTTTTTTAAAGATTGTGTTTTTTATTTTATTTATTCATTCATTCATTCATTATACAAGCACTGGGTACAGTCAGAAGCTCGGGAGGGTGAGAGAATTCACCAGAGCCAGAGCAGGGAACAGAACAGGCAGACAAACAGAGGACACTGCTGAGGGGAGCAGCGGGCGGCAGGAGAGGTCTGCGCACCATGTGGGACCCTCCTCCGGTGGCCAGGGAGCAGCCGGGGATCGAACCAGTGCTGCAGAGGCTGCAGGCAGCTTCGTAACCCAGAGCTCAACCGCTGCGCCACCCGGGAGGCCCCAGAAAATCTATTTCTAACCTAAAACTGGGGATAACAGAAAGCAGTATTTCTAGAAGGAAGGCAATGTTTTGAACTGATGTCCTTCCTGACTCCTACCCGACTGTTTTCAAGGTTGTTACATGTTCAGCTGGATGGTGCTTAGCTATATTTCGTGTGATAATCTTAAAACCATAAGAAGCTGGCAAGTGTTCATTAAACTATGGTTAGTGTAAGAGCATGCTGAGAAATTTTAATGTTTTCAGTAAAGAAAACTTTCATGAAAAATAAAAAACAAAAATTATGAAGGAGACATCAATTTAACTATTTAGAATTTGAGGTCATTAAATCACTAGATTTTAATAAACACTTGCTGAATGATGGCAGCAAACAAAAGTAATGGTTTCAAACATATTTTCCACATTTTTACCTATTTCAGCAAGATACAAAATGTGAAATCTAACCAGTGATGGCAATATGCACAGGATTTTCAATATCATGTCTGAGTGCAGAATTCAAGCAGTGACAGGTAAGATCTTGTCACCTGGATACAAAGAGGGGTTATGAATCATGAGATAGGAAACCACATAAACTGTCTAAGATATAAGTAAGCAACAAAGCATCTTATTACAACAAAATACAACAGCTACCAAACAATCTGGATGCCTAGAGATAAGCAGGTCAGAATTCTAGAATTTGTTGAGTGAAAAGGAACAAAGCAAATCTCATGGCACAAGTACCTTTGTAAGGAAACAGAAAAGACCCAATTTGGCTAAAGTGTTGGGAACAGAGGTGGCATACATGGACAGTAAATAAGTTCAATTCACATGTCAACACAAAGTCCTGTGAAATGCAAGTGTGTGACACAACGGGAGACTTGTGAAATGTACCTGTGAAAACTGGGTTTTAGGAATTGAGATTAAATTCTCACAAAATCTATTATGTACATGAATATTACTCACTGAAGCACTCTGTA